TTCGAAAGGTATTTGCTGCTTAGAATGTTTATTTAAGATCTACAATTTGATTTCAGTGATACCAACCACATTCTACAGTTGTAGATTACACCTTTATCCACTGAGCTGTAGTACTTAAAAAACGCCTCTTTCAGGCCTTGTGTTCGCCTTGCGGTATGCAGAATCCTTCACTCCTACGCTAATGAATATGGCTGAAAATGAAGCGTGATGAGGTAGGTGGCAGGTGTTTGAAGTAAATGAGCGACAACTGATCTCTACTCATACCCCTTTTACATGCATTACGCACCGGACATAAGTATTCCTACTATTATTTCTGAGAAGGCCATTCTATGATCGAATGTGACGATTTCAATCCAAGTATGAATTTCTATCTGATTTTCATGCACTGCTTATCCGTCATCGATCTTTACCTGAATATGCTAGCTATATACTGTATTCTCTACAAATCAACTAAACAAATGGGTGCTTACAAATGGTATTTGCTCGCTTACCAAGTTGTATCAACCTCATTCGACTTCATCTATACAGCTGTTACTCTGCCTGTGATCTTCTTCCCTGTACCCATGGGTTACCCGGCGGGAGTGTTCTCTCAATGGCTATCTATCAGTACTCACGCTTGTACAATTATCGTGGTTATCACTTGCTCATGGCTTATAGCTACCATTCTCAGTCTTTTCAACTACCGCCGCCATTTGGTCACTCCGGCATATCCGTTCTTCAATTTCACTGATCGTGGTACGTACAGAGAGTTTGGGGTAAATTTACGAATTCACAGTTAGAATTTTTTGGCTGACATTACTCAAGTTCTGATCAATTTTTGCCTAAACTTAGGCCACGTTCATACTCTGCGAGTAGGTAGATTAGGAACTCAGGATGGGGATATTCAGCTAAAAAGATTGGATGCATGTTGATTTTGAAATTAGAAGGTCAGTAGAAGAGGGGTCCACATGCAGATCAATCAACTCTTATCTAATCTTTCCAGCGCAATCTCCTATTCTCTTGCTATTGTAACATAGTAACCATAACCTACATCAGGCTTTCCGATCAATACGGATGTAGGCTTCTCAATGTCCAAATCTCCCATTCTTCCGAATCATGGAGTTTGAACGCTGCATAAGAGCTCTACGAGAGTATACGGCTGTCCGGTGATTCCCCAACACACCTTACTGATAATTGACCCTTCAGCCAAAAGGATTCCAATTGCTTAGCTTCGGTTTAAGGGTAGGTGCAGGAAGGAGACTGAATCTTCTTCTCCCTTGCGCTAGTCGAGGAGGACGAACTGAATCTCTTCTTCTCCCTAGCGTTAGTCCCGCGCAGTCGCAGGTCCGCTGTCTTTGTCAGTCGTCGCCACTTTAATCTGTCCAGGGCGTCCTCTGCTGTGGCCATGACTTCACTTAGATCCTTCTTGATCACGTCTCTCCACCCTTCTCGCGGTCCTGCCTTGCCTTCTGGCAACGCACCCTTTTCTTTACTGGATGATCCTGTGGCCTCCTCAGCACGTGCCCATACCATCGAAGGCGCTGCTCTCGCATCTTCAGCTGGACAGGAGCAGTCTGCATGACCGCCCTGACATCCTCGTTTCTGACCCTGTCCAGCCGCGTCCAGCCGCAGGCCCACCTCAGCATCCTCATCTCAGCGGAGTGGAAGCTGCCTTTCGTGGTTCTTGTTCAGGCCAGCACTCGCTGCCGTATAGCATCGTAGGCCTGACTACTGTTCGGTACACCTTCCCTTTGAGCGTTCTGGAGCACCTTCGATCGCAGAGGATTCCAGTGGACTCCCTCCATTTCATCCATGCAGCGTTGACTCGAGCCTTCACTGCCTGATCCACACCACCGTCGGCTGCCAGATCGCTCCCAAGGTAGCGGAAAGTCCTCCACTCTTTCGATGGGTGAGACCTTGGGAGAAGGAGACTGAACCAGTTCCTCGAATTGCCACGTTTGAAGTATTTAAAGAATAATAATAAAAATCAAGATGAAATGGTGCCCCGGTAGCGTAACTGGTAGCGCACTTGCCCGGAAAGCGAGAGGTGCGGGTTCTAGTCCCGCCTGGGGCGAAAGTTTTGTTCACAACCCAGCATTCTTGTGAAACATTCGCAAGGCGAACTGCGGCCAAAACAGCAGCAGTTAACAAACAAAAACAAGTCAAAATAAGTATTGAGGTTCTGTATCCTATTTGTGTCCCAAGCTTCTCATTTGTTTTGAAAAAAAATTCTACAGTACGTTTATGCGACATTTTGATGGGCACTTCTTCGAATTGCAACACGAGATGAGGCCATTTCTTTACACCATAGGTTCCAAAGGAAAAAAGTAAGGAGAGCTTAAAACCAATGTGCATATCGGGTGTTGCACAAATGTCAGATGTGGGAGTTTCGACGTGCAGATCCGGCGATGCACGCGAGCTGCAATGTGTTAAGGCAAAAATATTGCATTATGGTGCCGCTTCAATAAGTTCCTTGCTGAGATTCCGATCGTGAGAAAACGAGCCTCCAATTTTTTAGTGGTGGAAAAATTCAATCCATACTAAACAAAGTAATATACAGTGATCAGGACAAAGTTCAAGACGAATGACAAGGCCAGGAGGCCGCTTCAAATCAGCTTGAAGTTCCCCATTCCTGAGATAAGAAAGATATTTCGGACAAAGTAATTCGGAAACATAGTGTTCTGTCAGGGGGTTCGTCAAATATGCATTATAGGAATTTGAAACTTTTGAGGTCACTTCTACACGAGCGTTGCCATATTCACTATCTACTTTGTTCCGTGTATTATCGGGTGTACTTCGATATTCTTCCTGACCAAGTGGATGCAAGAAGATGGGTTGAAGAGGTGATTTGCACTGCGAACAGAAATCTTGTAAAAATTGAAATTAAGAATGAAAAAATTGTAGAACCTTTTTCTATCCAGAAAGCTAACACAAGAAATAAGAAACTTATGAGATATGTTGTAAGTTTTTATTTTTATTGCAATTTTTGCATTTTAAAATTTTTAATTGCATATTAGTGACAATTTTGTGGTCAGGATGAATGTCTTCGTTTATTTTCCAAGTTCAGTACGAGAATTGAAAAAGACTTGCTTATTCATTACGATACTTAGATCCAAGCTGTTCCATGCGTGGATTAATCTATATCCTTATATTTATAAAGCGCTAACTTTGTGTGTCGGTTTGTGTATCTGTATGTGTGTGTGTGTGTGTGTGTATGTATGTATGTGTGTCCGTCCGCAAAATGAAGTGAGTGAGAAGGAAGCTCATGGGATAAACAAACCGCTAACAAATCGGGTAGCTTACAGGATTTGAGATATCAATGTTTTGTAGCAGGATAGTTGTGATAACACTCTAGGGCTATATAAACACCTGCTTAGCACACTTCCGTTCATTCCACATGGTGCTGCAGTGGCAGCTGGAGGGCAGTGGAGAGAGGAAGGGAGGATGAGGAAGGGAAGCGAAAAATCCTACCGTCATATCATGATTGTGTCCCTTCTACTGTATGAAACACCATTGTGTTGCATACGCGTCACTTCCAGGAGGTGTTGGTGTCACAGGAGGAAGGGACCATAGCGGAGGATAGAAAGCTTGCGCAGGAAAGGAAGGTCCCGGCGGTTGACGGGGGACTAATCTGGTGTTTAAAAAAGCATAAGATGTGGTATCTATTATCATTGGTAATGTAGAGAGCCAAAAACTGACAAGAGCATTTAAGGGCACATTTCACAGAGAACTTATGGGTGGAGCCACTTCGACCAGCACTGACCCTTTCATTGGTCGTTTGCCCTTTGATACAGTAACTAGGACTAAGCCAACAATTATTAGGTTGAGCAATAACTATCCGCCGTTTTCATCTCACTTATAGTTTGTTAACAAAAACAAAGAAAAAAATGCGTGATCAACACACTCGAACAGTCATCTCTGCAACCGTGCCTTCATCAAAGGTTTCAATGATTATACGAGCAGATCAGAAGCAATTCGATTTCGAGCTCAACTTGCCACAGCTCTCATTCTGCCCTCATGTAGCAGGGGCAGTCTTTTTTGCTAGTGTGTAAGCTCCATAGTAAAGTGGTTCACGGGCAACTTGAACTCAGTCCCCCGTCTGCGCTCTCTCGCCTAAACAGCGGCTTATGATTACTGTGATCTGACACATTCAAACTTTGCCACAATGTAATTGGCTCACCCACTCCGGAGTCCCTCCTCCCTCCAAGGCTTAGTCCTAGGCTCTCACCTTCCTCTTGGGATTTGGAGCCGAGCCAGGCGCCGTTCTCTAATCGTCTGTGCTCTGGCCTTTCGCGGCAGAGAACACGGGAGAGTTCAAGTAGTCACGTGATCCAGCAAAGTAAGTGCACAAGTGTTGCACATCAAAATGTGCAAGAAATTGAGCGCTTCAAGAATACATCATAAACTGAAAATAATCTGCAAAAAATCAAAGAACAATGAGCCTGAAAAAATGGCGGGTAATTATTGCTCAACTAAAGTGGCGTCGAAGGGTCGAAAAGATTTCGCGCACACGCATCGCTTTGCTCTACTATGTAGTTGTCCAATTTGATTAATCAATCACTACATCTGTTTCCATTTTCGAGTGCGATGAAATAACTCTTACCTATGCAATCCTGGTATGTGCCTTTAAGTCCACTCTACGAACTATGATGAACAACACAGTTTTTCCGAAGATTAAAGCTGTATGGTTTTTACATATGGTACCCATGTCTTACAAACAGTATATCGTATTGAGAACATCAGTAAGCCTTATCTTTGATAACTGCTCAAAACCTTAGTGGCTATAAATGGTACCACATTTGAACTTAGAAGACCAAGAGCCGGGGAGATATTGAAGTTTACAATTTATTGGTACTTCACACCAAATCACGGAAAACGCAGCATTTCAAATCAATTGATTCCTCATGGATTGCGCCACGCTATCTACTTGCAGTCAGAATGCCTAATAAATGCAACTGGGTTATCGGCAAAATCAATCCTAAGCGATAGGTTTGGCTTGAGGATCAAGTAGTTTTTTTATAAATTTTTATAAATCTGTGAGTCTATGCTTGCTACGAAGGTGCAGCTTATCTGTTCCGCTCATACTTGCCACCACGATTGCTTTTTCCTTTCTCTATTCATTTTTTCTTTATTCTAGCCTTATTTTACGTCTTTAGGAATATAGTTGTGGCAAATCAGCAGTATTCCTTCCACATATCCAAATTTTCACTCCATGGAAAGTGAAGCGGATCGCCATAACGGCTCTTGCGCTAGCCGGTGTGGCATTTCTGATTACAGCCGGTTGCATTCTTGTATCATTTTATTTTCTCAGTCGAAATAAACGCCTATCTCCAAAAACTCGACAGATGCAAAGGCGTTTTCTTATTTATCTCTGTGTGCAGGTAAGTAAATAATGAAATTTTGTACGCACATTCTATTATTTTCGACTTCAAAAGGCACACCCTTCCACTCATGTTGATGCCGGTAACTCCATTTTAGTATGGAAGAGGGGATGCAAAGTGGACCGCCAGTCAAAAAAGATACGGGAACACCAATAATACAAGCCTCCTTCAGAATAGTCAAATGAACAGATAGCGAGGATAAGAGGTAGTGGGAGGGGGTGAGCAAGAGAGAGGAAGACCTCGAGGCAAAAGCATAGCAGATCAGCGGTAAGACACCGATGAGATACCGCCACGGTGAGCGTGCCTTGATGTGGGGCTTACGAAGTTAGGTCTTCACTAGCGTTTTATCGACGGGTTTCGATGTGCGGAATTTGAATCGGACCTCTGCATTGCACTTTCACGAGGGATATATCACCAATGAAGCGCAGGGCGGCGGCCATTTTCTATTTTTCTTTTTCATTGTGACTTGATAAGAGAGGCATGCCCTAGGATCAAAGTGGTGTGGTTCTTGCACGCAAATATAAAAGTATTATTGCGAAGATGGCCAGGCGTGAAGAAAGCGGAAAAGTTCTTTAGAAACGGTTCAAGCTTACGGCTTGCTCACCTTCGTAATGCCGGCTGTGTGTAAGCCAGTGAGAGGCTGAGCGTGGAGTGGAGTGTATGAGGCGAGAGAGCGCAACAAACAAAGGAGATGATAGTGAACGGTAGCAGACGGGGGAAATTTAAGCAGTTGAAGCTGCCTTCGCAAGGTTCTAGAGCCCTTCTCGTCGCCATTCCATACATTACGCGGGAGTTGACACAATTGCCGAGCAGAGTCAACCCTGCGTTGCGCAGTTCTCAACGGCCACGTTGCGCAGTTTCGCCCGATTAGACACGTTCTCTCGCGCGAACATTCACACTCGCATGCTCGAGCCGTCTGTGTCTCCGCCCATACAGCGTGCGTTGAGGATCTCTCAACGTGCCGTTGCGAACTGCGCAACGCAGGGTTGACTCTGACTGCGATTGTCCTTTAGGGTCTATCCTTCAGAGTGAAGTGAATCGTCAATCTAATTTTCGCCTCGGTTGTGCTTTTGAGTTGTTTAAAGGAGTAAAATGATTCATACTTGGAACCCAGTTTTGGATTTTCTGATGGAATGATTGCTTACTGCATCATGTTTTCTACCACAGTTTTTATATAAATGGTGTACAACAACAAATATCCGTGGGTAAATCCTTGCAAAATTATCGGCATGCCAAATTCCGAAACAGATCAACACTCTCAGTCACATCGGTCCTTCCACTGTGAACTATACCTCCGTGATAATTTTAGCAATACCGGCACCATTCTCTTGCCACCATGGAAGAATTTTATTACGACTCCGCAAGTTCGAGCTAGGTAAACGATCTCTGTTTGAATAGCCTATCGACCTAGAAGACTCCAACCCCTAGATCATGCGCAAACAAAAGGACGTCGGCGAAGTTGTGCCGACCCATTAAAAGGCAAACTCCGGAATTAAACTGGTGCTAAGAGCGCGTCGCAGTGATAGCTTAACTGCAGAGCGACCCCAAACGTCGAGAGGGAAAGCGAGAGAACTCTTTGGGAACGCTGAAATCAAGGCCTTAAAGTCACGATCCGTCTATATAGCCAACCTGTTTGCCATCAAGAAAGCAATTCTACTCAATAAAGTATTACCAATCCAGTAAAGATGATGTTGAGTCATTGAAACACTATGTAACTTTGCGTTATGTGCTGTTTTTCAGGTAGCAATTCCAGCTATAACTATGTTTGTACCAATCATCGCCTAATGTACATCCTCGGAACAACAAACCGCACCAAACAAAGTAAGTCTACATTTTGCAGGCAACCTTTTCTTTTCTTCTTGACTTGCCTATCATTTCGCTGTACCACTTTCGGTAACCAAACCATGAAATTAAATTATGTTTGCGAAAACCCATTCATGAGTTCGATGGGTTCATTGCAAGCATCCCTCCCTTTGCGATAAACCGCCTATAGCCTAAATAGTACTTGAAAATCGGATCTTCAACATATTCTGTATCACAGTACTTTTTTTCCTGGCGCTTTTTTTCTGTGGTTTCGAGTGGGTCGCATGTGCATCTTTGTTGGGACACTGTGCGAAATAAATACGGCTGAGGCCAATACTGACATCGCAACTCGAGCTTTCTTCAGGAAAAATCATCAAGCAACAAGAAAAACTTATAATAGTCAAGCATTTCTAAACGAGCGACTGCATTTGCCCCAGCGGAAGTGGGGGAGGTTGGGTTTTCGTGGGTTCCAGAGACAGTAGATCGTAGTGAAACAAATGAACGAGAGCGCAGGAATTGCTTCCCTTACTCTTCACACAGCTCTAGAATCGACTTCAAGAGAATTGGGACGTGCGGTTAGGAGCGTTACAGAGTAGCCGCGACCTGAAGCAGGGTCAACCGTCCGTTGGACAAAGTCCAACGAGGGGGGGGGGTCGTATTTGGTGGAGTGGAAAAGGGGAGGTCGTATTTCGCGATGTAGCGTCAATGTTTGCAGTAAGGAAATAGGGATGTTTTTTTATTTCATGAACTTGACACGGCGATAGTGGGTTCTTGTAACAAGCTGGGCTTTTCGGTGTAAAAGTTGTGAAACGTGTCACGGTGTCAGTATACCCGTCTCCCCCCCGCTCGACCGGTAATTTGAAAGGAAATTGGTGGAGTTGGGCTGTGTCGACTGATCCCAGAATCAAATACTATAGACTCGCTCCCCGACAGGCGAGGGTCGAGGGGGGTGAAGATGTCGCTAGTTGGCCCTAGAGGGGGGGTCGTATCGAGGCTCTGCAGAGGGGGAGGGGGTCGTGAAATTGTCGAAATTGGTCCAACGTGACGGTTGACCTTGCCATGAAGCCATCGGCCAGAGGGGTCATTTTGAACATGACGCAAAAAAGTTTAGAATTTCTTATATCTTCGTGAGAGGAACATACCGGCGCGGCAGTTTCCTCGAAACGAAGCCTACCTTCTTCAAACCGTTTGTCAAAATCAAGGTAAGAAAATAGGCGCGGTCAAAATCGTTTTGAACCAGAATTTGTGACGTTGCCCTTTCCTGTATGAGTAGAGCCAACAAAAAACCTTCGACGTATAGCACTTTATCGAAAATACTGTAATCACCATCAGGTCTTGGAAATCTCGCGTTGGGTGCACTTGGATGTCACGGGTGTGTGGCAGCGATAACGCTGATCATGTGCAACGAGCCATACAGGAGTTTTGTGACCAGACCTATAATGGAGTGTGAGTTCTTTCTTTACAAAATTCTAACTTCATTCATAATTGCACCAAAGACAACGAAGGACCTGTACTGCAGCTATCTTATTGTACTATACACATCTCCTACGGGATGCAGCAGTATGTCCTAGCAGTACCACTCAGTGAACTCGTGGTTCCCATCGAAGCTTTCGAAAACCTCTGTGCAATTTTCAAGATTGAGTGCACTGCATGTAAGGAGAAACGCATTACATTCGATATTCAACAGGGCGAATTTGTGGCGCGCACAACGCGTAGCAGCGAAAATCGATCATCCAAACTACCGCTGGCTTTTCATGACCAGAGGCTCATTACTAGCCAAACTTTGTCTATAAGAATGGCGCAGTCAAGTGAACTCTGTGGTCCATTCCATAGAACTGCGCGCCCTTTGAAGGCAGTGATCACGATAAATTCAGGAAGGGTGTAGTTTGACGCGGTGGTGCTAAATGGTACGCCAGAAGCGAAAAAAAAGCAGAAAAATCCGTCAAGAAACTGCAAAACGGGACCCCTTTTTTGGCCGTTGGTTTTCTTCATGAAAATTGGTAACAGCTCAGAAAATGGACAAATGAACGAGTTCACCGCAACCCGTTGAGCGGCACCATGACCAACGATTACCGCTTCACCAATCGAGATACTCCATTTGCGGCCGATTGCTGGCCGGCGCCAGCTACGTCCAAAACCAACAGGTAAACTGCGTGGGCGGAGCGCTTTCAAATCCTGCCTCAGCACCAGCGCACCTGTTCGTTGTGAACACTACACATCGCTTCTCCTTGGCAGCCAAGTAAACTGCTTCGTGTGGTGCATATGCTTCCCCGATGCGCTCCCTCTTTATCGCTACCACTGCCTTTACCCATTCACGACCGCGCGGGATTGCGCATAGCAGGAGAGTCAGGTGATTCTTTCTACAATAAAATTTTAGTGGATGGAGATTTCCCTGCCCAGGGCTGGCGTAGATGAATGAGGGTATGAAAATTCTTTCAGGAAAGAAAACTTTCCAAATTTCATTTAAATCTTTTTCCCAAGATCTTTGGCAGCCACCGGTGACTGCCATTGTCACGAATGGCGTCAGTAAGTGAATTAAGCCGTCGAAGATCGAATGCAAGGCTACACCTTTTTTGAGATGTGACACTACGATTTTACAGTTAGTTATCCGAGGAAAAGATGGTCGGATTTTTTTTTCAGATTGGAAGCGAAGGTTACCACAACGCATTGTCATTGTACCAGAGCGGACTCGATCGACTCATCAATGAGATTTCCAAGAAATTCCTTTCTCTGAGATCATTTTATACTTACAATAGTTTTCGCTGATTACTACGGCTGACTTATTAAGTCCATTTGCAAAGCTTAATTTATAAAGAGATTTTATCCATTTTATTTGGTAGGATTTTTCCACCTATATTCGTTTTACATGTGAACACTAAGCAAACATAAGGAGAAGCTCGGTCAGCTCGTGGTCAATCGAACAACCCAACCCTACCTTACACCAACGTCAACCTAACTCTCATCTGAATACTGACGGTCAAGGTATTTTTTAGCGAGTGGTGTTTTAGCTTAAACTGTAGTTGGGTCACGAGTAAGGGTGAAACTATCCTTCTCTGCATGAGAGTCAACCGTACGTTGGGAACTAGTACCAACGCCCCCCTCCCAACCTCCGCCCCCCCGTTTTTAAGAGTTATAAAAGAGCGCGTGTAGAAGGGGTTGTGTGAAATCTCTCGTGAAGGAGGGGTCTCGTAGAAAGATTGCAAAAAGTCCCAAAGATAGGACCGACCCAGCCCTACATCATTCTAACGTATTGCCTCAACTGCAGGATAGGAGAGCTGCCTGTACCAGTATTGTGGTCGTGAAGGTCGTACTTCAAGAACACAGCGCCATATCGACTGTCCTCTCTCATCTTTCTGGTAGTCCCTGGCTAGGCGGAATGCATCGCCTCAGCTCGGTCTGACACAATGATTTCAGACAGTTTGCTTCTCAGAAAAATCCGGAGCTCAGCACTATCTTCATTCTGAATCGAATAATAAAAGCGATGAATCTGCTAATTAAATGTAAAAAAAAAACAAATATTAGCATCGGGTTGCTCTGAAAAAAATAATGCTTTACACAGGTCACAACAAAAGCACGGTGGTGACACGTATTCCATTTCAGCGACAAGGAAGCTAAATCCTTGCCATTTGTGTTGAAAGCGGATGCAGCTATTTCAGCTAAAGCAATGCCAACGGCGCGGAATGTCTGCATCTCGCTCGTTGCTACGCTCTCTCGTCTGTCCTCTCTCCTCGGCGCCCACTGTCTCCTTGTCGTAAAACTGTTCATACCACAAACTAGGAAATCCGTTCTAATCAGGGTCGGTCCTACCGTTGCGACTTTTCGGGAATTTTTTACGACCCTCCTTCCAATCAAAAGATTTCACGACCCCCTTCATCACCCTCCCCATCATCGTCGCTGCTTCTATAGTATTTAGATTCTGAGACCACTCGACACCGGACTGCCACCACTTCCCACTCAACAGCCGTGAGGAGGAGTGGGAGGAGGCACCTAAATTCATACAGCACGACCCGTTGATTACTCTGTCGCCACGCGATTGACCCTGGTTTCCAATAGGTTTCGTTGTTTATTTTACCTTTCCTTCACTACTGCCTTTTGCAAATACCCTTCCATCTCAAGTAAATGGGTGCATTTGGTGATTGGGAGCACCTCTCTCTTGGAAGGAAGACTCAAAATAGCAAGCCAGCAAACACAAACAAATCTGAGCGCCCCCGTGCCAAATCAAGGTCTTAAGCTTACCCGTTTTCATCCATTTTCGAAGTATTGATTGCTGAACGAACCTCTAACATCATGTTGAATTGATTAGTGCGCCTCTCTATGACCGCTTTGAGCTTCGCCGTCGAAGGACCATCGTATTTCTCGCGTATGTCGTCAAGAATAGCGTTCCATTCCTGCAGTGACGTCCATTCCAACCTGTTGAACTCTTTCAAAAGTTGAAGATGCGTACGAAGACGTCCTTCGTTACATGGTGAACATTCGTTGAGCAGAACTCTGCAAATTTATAGGATTGTCAGAGCGTTACCCAACCTCTCTGAGGATGCGCCACACACCCTGCTTCCATTTCATAGATAGCAGTAGCATTTAAATGCGTTTGAATAGAAGTGCGGGGTGTCAGCTATCGAAAGCAAGAAGATTAATACTTCCCTCCAGGCAGATCCTCTACAAAGCATCCGAAAGCGAGTGAGGCGGCGATTGGTTGGCCTGGACGTGTGCGATGGCAAGACTCGATCCCCGCACTTTCGGCTGCATGAACGGGTGTCCAGCTTGCCAGCAATCAACCTATGGCCAGGATAGCGTTGAAAAATGGGTAGTTCCAGGGAAATTGAGTGGGGAAGTTTGGAAATAAGGAACAGTAAGGCTTAACGCAGTTCGAATTCATTGAAATGGTTACTCACTTGGATCGCATCTGCTTACGGATGCCGCACTCATACTGCTTCACTCGGAATCGTCGGTGTATCTGATAAGAGATGAGCGGGAGACCAGGACCATGTGCAAGTCATCTTCGCCTCCTTACTCTGGTCCGATCCGACTGATCTCGAAAGGTTTGAATGCCGGGCCGGCTGCCTTGGACGAACTGGAATTTGACCACGGCGAACGATTTGTCGGCGCCACCTACTTATGGTTACTTAGAGCTACACCAGTCTCTGCCATCGGATTATATGGCGGTCAGTAATTTACACTGGAAGCTTCGGAAACTTGGAACACGACAGAAGACTGTGAGGAATCAATCAAAATCTTCAGAATTTATTATATAAAGGATAAAGGATAAAGCATTTGCCGTTGATCAATCCCTTTTTGGGATGCGGCACGCATTCTACTTCCATTTGTACATTCGTAGTGGCGTTTGAATGCGATGTGGCCTATACAATGACTTGGGGGCCAGCCGATGTACAAGTCATTCCCAGACAAGTCTGGTACCAATTTACCGACCCCGGAGGGATGGAAGGCTTGGTTGGCCCGGGCGACTCACGACCCAGGATTTGATCCCCGGACCGCTCGCGTGGTAAGCGCGCCACTTGTCACTACACCACTTCCGCCCCCGTTAAACGGAATAACTTCCGTAATACTTGACTCATACGGCACATGACAATACATTCAATACCTCACCTGGGAAGTGTCGCTCTCTTCGGTTCTTCGGTCTGAGTGCCATCATCGGTGCTATTCGTCGGCCTATCATTCGCTGGAGAAAGAGGTGATCGATCTTCCGAAGAATTTCTAGCCACTGGTGCAGGTCTTCTTAAGTTCTTCCCCGTAGACGAGAGTTTACGCTCGTTACCCTTCCGAGATGGCTTGTGAGAAGCCACCGGCGACAGTGAACGACTAGAAAGCCTCCTCGAGGATTCAGACTCCTTTTCTGGCGGTGCCACTACCCGTTTCTGCTTAGATTTGAGCTCCAATGATTTTTCTTGGCTCTTCTTTCGCGTTCGGATTTTTGACGATTGATTTTCCTTTTCGGGCTCGTCTCGGTGGGAAACCTCCTCGATCGTGCTTGCTTTACCGCTGCTGGGATCAGCTCTAGATGTGTTACCATCAGTAGAAACGGAGTCGAAATCCGTGCCATACTCCCTTAAGGTCGACGATCCCGAGCTTGGATTTTCTTCCACTTCATTCGCGACGAGAACCTTAATAAAGGGATCGATTTACGGGTTGGAAATTGAGTTTTTGCGCCTCATTTTTTCGTGAAACATCACAAAGGGGAGTGTTGCGCTACAAGTACGCGGTACAAAACAAGGAATAAATGGAGTTATACGAAAGTACGCGCTATAAAACCTAAAGGAATAAATGGAGTAAAATGTAGAACCAAATAAATCAATAATTGATACGAAAATAATAATAAATCTCGAACAGCATTCTGAAAATGCTCAAAAAGCAATTTTCCTTCATTTCCTACCAATCGTCGTGCCTCTATTAGTGCTGGAAATGTTATACAATCAACCAGCATTTTGGCACCCCCTGAGATTGCCTTTGTGCTAGGCGGGCTCACAAATCATATCAAAAAAGGTGGCGTGAGACGCGCGCGGTCGCAGCGCGGTGTGATCAATGTTGAAATATCAATTGACACTACCTCAGAAGGCTTCCGAAGCGCTCGAAGATCTTGAAGACTTCGATTTGCTGGTGACTGCTGTCGAGGAGGAGGAAGTGGAAGAAGAAGATGATGAGGCAGAGGTAGCTTTCGATGCGATACTGGATTCAGAAACCGATGAGCTTTGACTGGCTGTGCTTCGAGAAGAACTGGTTTTGGATGAGTCCTTCGAGGTTTTAGAGGACCTCTTCGACTCTTCAAAACGCACTGCTTTTCGGTTTAGGCAAGTCCTCCTTAAAAATAGTTGTTTTGAATTTTCGAAGCTCTATATGGTTTCCAACTCCATACAATCATAAAATACTTTGAATAAACTCACTTCAAAATCGATCGATTCCACATCACTGCCACTTTCAATCGCTGCACGGAAAGGGCTTTTGGTTTTTAGTGCGTTTTGCCTCGGTACAACAAGCTGGAAAGGGTAAACAATAGAGAGCTACCGAAGGGCTACCTAGTTAGTAAAGTTATATGATGGTCGGCAGCTTCCACGTGAGTGTGACCACCCTCAATTCTCCTTCAGTTTATTGATGCAGTACAACTCTACGTCGAAGGTAACCCGACGGATGCTTAGAAAAAAGGATAAAGGATAAAGCATTTGCCGTTGATCAATCCCTTTTTGGGATGCGGCACGCATTCTACTTCCATTTGTACATTCGTAGTGGCGTTTGAATGCGATGTGGCCTATACAATGACTTGCGGGGGCCAGCCGATGTACAAGTCAGTGTTTTTATCCTCCCAGACAAGTCTGGTACCAATTAACCGACCCCGGAGGGATGGAAGGCTTGGTTGGCCCGGGCGACTCACGACCCAGGATTTGATCCC